TGCTAGGGTAACCAACGTTAGAGACCCTGAATCAGTTGAACACACTTATAGCTGCTTCTCCCCATTTTTAGCATCTGCCCTCGCAAAAAATGAAATTCCATATGAATATTTGATGCTTCACATTTTTTCATCTCTTCGTTCATTCTCTGGTTAAAAGTTAAAAGGGCCTCATGTTTTTAAACCTGAACACAATATTGCTGTGACGTGAGGTTTCTCTTGCTCGTTCTAAGTAAAGGTTTGGTGAAAGTGTCAGGGTAAAGGGGGAACCCATTATTCTCCATGTGTTTATTTCCCTACCCGAGTTTTTTATTGGAGCTCCAGCTCTTGAGCCTCTCTCTTAATTCATATGTTGACGTGATCTATTCTGTTGTATTTACTTTTAAAGGGGAAAAAACAATACACGCTGCCGTCAGTTTGAAGAAAAAGACGCGGGTGCAGCACCAGTTTATTACAAAAACGTTTCACTCTACCAGTGAATTTTTGTCACAATAAAACCTTCTCTTGCATTTGGGTTTTTTCCTTTCCAAATCAAAAATGATTTTGTTGCCCTCTAGTTCTTCCTCGTCTCCACAGCGTACCTTAATTTATTTTTTTATTTTTTTCCCGCGTCTCTTTTGTCTTAACTTTGTGTCTTCTAAGTCTTGCTGACTCCCCTTTGGGTGTTTGGGGGTCGAGAACGGGCTGACTCCCTCATCAAAATGCCTCAAAACCCCAAAACCCGGATATTATTGGAATTATATGTATTATCATTTTTCCCCTCTTTTTCGATCGTCGGGTGTGAGGCCAAGTTGTTCAGTGCTTCATAGTTTTTATCCTCACTTCAGGTACCGTCAGGGAACGAATTGCCTCCCTAGTGTATTCCCGGGGATCAACGCCCCCGGGGCCCCGGTCCTACCAGGCCTGGGGTGGATGGGGCCCCTAGGTAGGGGTGCACACTAAAGCTAATCCTCGCGGATATGTCTTAAATATGTGGGGGAATATGCTATAAAGGATTGTCGTACATATTTGAATATTTTTTTTCGTTTTCAGCCACTTCTTGCCGGGTGCCACCCAATTTCTCTTCGTCAACATTTTCTCCAGGCTTGCGGGTTGTATCTGTTTATATGGGCTTTACGTTACAGCTGGAGTCGTGGGGGTTTTTCAAAAATATTGCTTGGAGAAAGTTTATGGTGTCTAAACAGGTGTTTGTTTATAATGATGTTTATTTGGCGTTTTTTAGCATCTAATGTTCCACCCTATAAGTAAGAGTTTAAAAATTTTTTTTTTTCCCCTTATTTATATGTTTTGGTTTTTGGTCTTACTAAGGTTTCACTACTAGCAAATACTTCACCCCAAGACACGTGAAGTTCTTATTCACTTACAGTGCGGGGGGCCAAAATGAAAAAGGTTAAAATTTACTTTAAATTTTGTTTTTTAGTTTTGGGCCCTTTTTTGGGTTCACTGGACCCTCTTTGTCATCCTTGCTCAAGCCCGTCACACCTCAAAATTCTAAAAGTTCCACCCGGAATGTTTCTTGCTGCTACTCAAACCTAAAACCTTTTCAACTGTCCCCTTTTCCCTTTTTTTAAAAACACATTTCTTAAAAAAAATTCTTCCCTGTATATTTATTTATGATTAACACAATGATTTGTCAGGATTCACTTTTTTTTACCCTTTCTGAACAAATGGAGACGTATGCAGCAAAAATAAAAAAAAGTACTGTACTTTGTCTGTTAATTATGGGGTTCCAAGAATCATTGCCCCCCGCGGCCCGTCTTACTCACGCCTCCCGAATTGAGTGTATATTTATATTATTTATATATTATATATTTTTATATATATATATAATTTTTTTTTTTTTTTTTCAACAAGTCGGCCGCTCCCACCGGGGCAGGGTGCCCAAAAAAAAAAAGAAAATCCCCAAAAAAAAAAATATTTCTATCATTCAAAAAATTTTACCCCCACCGCACTTATCATTTTTGAAGGTGCTCAGAATACAACGTCTAGAAGCTAAACATTAAAAATACACAACATATCCCTCCAAACTGCCAATATCCAAAACCCCCCCTTTAAAAGGGAGGCATTTTACTTCCCATTTCCAGGACTCAGCCGCTTTTGAAAATAACCCGGTTTCCTGAATCCTTCACTAAAAATTTTTTCCCGCTCAACTCCAACAGATCGTCAGGTCCCAAGTACCATTGTCTCCCTTCACCCATCTAAAACGCTCCGCACGTTGTGGAAGTCCAAGCCCCTTACCCCAAAACCCCCTTTCCCCCCCTCTCCAAACCCTTTTGAGGACGACCCCCCCCCGCTTCCCTTCCCCCATGATTTAATTTTTCCATGCATTTACTGTGATCCATTCTCCTAAAAAGACCAAACCCCCTCAACAAACCCCCCTTCTGCCCTCTGCTAAAACTTTTTTTAACCCACCCTTCTCCTAAATTTACATCCCAATTTTCTCATAAAATTTTTCACCCCACATTGCCTTAAAAGGCATCCCGCTGCTCAAACCCTCTCCTCGCTCTGCATTTACCACCCCAAGCTTCACACCCCTATAAGAGTGTTGGTACTACTTTTTTTAACTTCCCCTTTTTTGCCTCATAGATAACGTTTTTTGACCCATTACCCCAAGCACCCCTCACCTTTTTTTCCCTCATCAATTCTAGATTAACCCCATCCCTTCATAAAACCATCCCCCGCCGTCAACTCCCAAGATTGAAAACATTTACTTCCCATGCGTTCTGGCCCATCATGCAATTTTCGTTTTCCAAGACGGCCCAAAACGACACGATTCAAGTCCTTGGCTGTCCCGCATTTTGTTATTGTTAAAAAACACAAGTTCGGGTTGTGTAAGGCATACAAACCGACAAATGAATTAAAAAATTTGGCAACACTGGTTATCTTTATTTAGACTTGCTCTCCACACCAACCCAAAGACCGAGATGATTACCTCTTTTTGTATTGTTCTACTGTCACTAGTTATGTCCTAGAAAATCTGTATTGCTAAACCCACTGGTGCAAAAACGATACAAAAAAAGTAACCAGATTTAAGTGTTTAACTTGAAATTTTTGGGGTTTTTAAATAATAAAAAACTGCTCGGGAAGTAGTCACAAACGGGGGTAGAAAAAATTAGCTCAGGACACCACCTTTGTCCTGGGTCAAGGAAAAAACACCTAGCTCTGTGGGCACTTGATTCTTGTAGGATTTGGTGGGCCTGGGGATTAGAGCGTATTGATTTTTCTCCCCATGAGGCGGGCCAAAACGGTGGATTCAGTCCTTGGCTAGTCGTAGGTTTTATTGTTTATTTTTAATATATAATAATTATATATATAATATTATTTATATATATATTTAATATAAAATTATATATATATACTTTTTGAAAAAAAAAAAAAATATATTTATATATATTTTTTATATATATTAATATATATTTTTTATATATATTTAAACACTTTCCCGGCCATTTCTACCAAGGTAAGGTGGCCCGAAAAAGAAAATTTCTTTATCCATCACGTCTTGCCAAAGGCGCACTTACACTCTGTTAAAAAATTGGAATTTTAAAAACCCCCCCCTTTTAGAGTGCAGAATGTACTTCCCATCTCCAGGACTCAAGCCCGGCCCCCGGGTTTTTCCAGAAACCTTCATAAGCAACCCTCCAACCCCAACAGCCCCGTAAAGTCCAAAAAACATTTGTCTCCATTCGCTCCTGTCTGACACGCTCACTCATGCTTGTGGAAGTCCAAATCCCTCGCACCAAAAACCCCTTTACCCCTCCTCAACCTTTCCTGGGCCCAACCTGTACTTGCCTTCCCTCACTATAGATTTAACTCTCAAGTCTTTCTGTTTTGTTCGTCTCTCTACATGTTGAACCCCCCAGAAACCCCCCTTCCCAACCCTTGGATAATAGTTTTTGTAACCCCACCCCTTTTCCCAAATTTCCCAAAACTACAAATTCTCTGTTTTTATATTCCCCACACTTGCGTTCAGACATGACATCTCATGCATCCACCCTTTTTTTGTTGAAAACATTCACCACCATCCTTCTGACCCATATCAGCGTTGGTATAAGTATGCCTCAACTTTCCCCCCCTTTGTTCCATGGAAAAGTTCTTTGTCCCCAAGCCCCCCGTGCCCCCACTAACCTTTTTCCCTGTCAGTTCGGATCCCCTCATTTTTCATAGCCCTTTTGCTGACAGTCCACCCCTAAATATCTGAATACATTCACTCGTCCATACTCTATCCCTCCAACCCTGATACCCAAATCTTTTCGTTACCAAATTTGTTTTGTTATCCTCATCACTTTACCCCCAAATTCGCTTTCAATTTTTTTTTTTACATATTTCAAACTCTCCACCAACCTCTGCAACCTCTCTCAAAATTCCAAAAAGCAGTGTCATCACAAAGAGCAACTGTGACAACCCCCATTTCGTTTTTAGATTTTTATTTTTTAAAACTCCACACCTTTGCAGAAAACCGGCTTTCATTTCTCTTAAAAAATCCATCTATAAATATATTGAAAAACCCCACAGTGACATCACCACCCCTTTTAAAGGGCCCTACTTTTACTGGGAAAAATCTCCCTCCCGCCTACAACTCTAAGTGACCCTCACTACCTCGAAAAGCTTTGCATTGTTTCAATAACCTACCTCCATTGCATATTTTTGAAACATTGCCCATTGCACCCCTATCCACCCTGTCATCGCTTTTCCAAATCCATAAATGCCAAAAAAAACCTCTTTACCTTTTATCAAGTACTGTTAAAAAGTAGTTTCACTGAAAACACTCTTCCCCTTCCTAAGCCTCCATGTTATCCTTATCCTCCCCCCGTCTCTTAATTTTTTCAATAAAAAACTTTTCCATCCCTTTTTCCAGATATACTCAACAGACTTTTTCCCCCTATGTTTTTTGCTTTGCAACCGTAAAAATTGTCGTTTTGTTGTCAGGTTGGGACATGTCGTGTGTTTGACTGCCTCCCCCTGGGGAGTCTATCGGGTGGCGAGGGAAGAGGGCCCCAATTTGGGTTTCTTCCCCTGTGAGTGTGGCAGGTCATCGGTGATAAGGTGAGATGATCAATTCTTCCGTTTACCCCATTCTCTTGTTAATCCCTTTTTGTGTACCCTCCCTTTCTTATTACCCTTTCCCTCCCCAATTTACTTCCAAAATATAAATACTTTTTTTCTTGCTTTAAAATGATGTAGGATGGCTTTGTCAGCATTTAAATTTTTCCCAAAAAAAAATTATGCAAGTTGTATTGTTTAACCATATTTATTTTGTATTTATAATTACTTCACTTTGATGCGACTTGCACCGAACTGTTACACAACAGTAAGCTCGCTGGGTTTTTAGTTGACTTGCTTTGCTTTATATAACGTTTTTGGTTGATTGTTCAGTAGTTTGGTTTAAAAAAACCCCCTCGACTAAAAAAGACTGCCACAGCGATCAAGAAAAACTTGAAAAAACGGTTTTTTTTGGGGCGTTTCGGCTTGTATAAAACTTTTTCAAGTCATCCAAACTTCATAAAATTTTTAAACAAGACTTGGTGGAGTACAGTCTGCTGACTAGGGATGGGACGACTGGCTCTTCCGGGTGGGTACCGTCTTGCTGACCAGGGGGTGGGGGCGACTGGCTTTTCCAGGGTGGAGTACAGGGGGGCTTTCTGACCCCAGGGAGTGGGCACTGGTCTTCCAGGGTGGAGTACAGTTTGCTGACTCAGGGAGTGGGACGATGGGTCTTCCGGGTGGAGTACAGTCTTGTGACCAGGGATGGGACGATGGCTCTTCCCCGGTGGAGACAGTCTTGCGCTCAGGGAGTGGGAGACTGGGTCTTCCAGGATAGAGTGTGACTGTATGTTACTACTACAAAAACCACCTAATTATACTACTGCTACTACTGTTTTTTATATTATTGTTATTATTTCTATACTATGCTATACAATACTACTTATACTACTTCTGCACTACTTTTACTCTGTTATTACTCTTTATTAATTACAACTATTTTTTACTGTTATACTATTTTATTACTTTTATACTTTAAACCCAACCACCCCCACAACGCTACAACCGCATCAAATCCACACAGTTTACCAACTTTCTTGTACTCTACTTTTTCTTCTTCATTGCCTCCCCTGCGCACACCCGTTTAAAAACCCTTCAAAATTTATTAAATAAATTTTTTAGGTTGTATAACCGTGAAAATTACACACCTCATACCATGTATTTTGGAGAGGGACATCCTTTCCCAGTGTATATATCAAGAGGTAAGTCCTCTCAGTTTTATATGCAACAGGTTTTTTACCTATCAGTGTATATAAAAAAAGAAAGAACACTGCAAAGGCCTACTGACCCCTGCGGAACAGGGCCATGTCCCCCCCCGGATTAGACCAATGACCGCCCCCCCCCCCCGGGTTAGCCCCGTGACCCCCCCCCCAGTCTGGTACCCCCACTCAAGAATGGAGCACTGCACCAGACCCACGCCAAGCGTCAGGTCCAACCACACTCACCCCCCACCCCCTAATTTTTTATCTAACCCATTTTTAAAAAATACACAACGTTTTTTGCCTGAAAAATGCACTCGGGGGTTTTTTTCCATCATCCACAACCTATTACCAAACCCGTGCTTTCCCATATCCTTCCTGAATCTGAAATTTTTCCAACTTGAAACCATTTCTGCGAGTCCTGCTTTGGGGGAAATTTTCAGACGCTTTTAATCCCTTTATTTTTCCTGTTTTCCCTTATACCCTCGATCATATCCCCCCTAAATTTTTTCGCCTTTCGGGAGTGCAGATTAGGGGCCCCCAGTCTATCCCCTAGGAAGTTTTGATCAGGGTCATCTTTTCATCTTCCTCTGTACGTTTTTAGTCATTTATATCCATTTGTAATACGGTGACCGAATGAGCAGCATGTTAAAGGGCCTAACCAAGGAATTAGAGTTGAAGAAAACCTGAGGACTTCTATTATTTTTTATTCTAGATATGAAGGGCCCAAAAATTTGTTGTTTATTGCGAACACTATGCATGTTGTCTTGGTTTTTTGATTTTGTAAAACAACTCCAAAACCTTTCGCAATCTAGTATTAAGATCTAATTATTTAGTTTTTGTGGCATGGTTTTTTAATGTTTTCCAACTTTAGAACTTTGATTTGTTTATAACTGCATCTGCCACTTCTCCACCATTGCTCGTTATTCAAAACAAAGGAGTGCTCTAGTTCCTCGTTAGAATGAATTGGGCACCTATTTTGGTGCCACGGCCCAATTTTTCTTTTTGTTTTATTTTTCCCTCATCTTGTCGTTTATGTAAAATTTTGAACAAAACGGGCTAACGCTGGGTCCCGGGGAACACCGCTTTTGATTGCCCCCCTTTGTTTTTCCCCCTTTTGCAAACTCTTGCTGTTTTATTTTTTCGCCATGCCTCTACCAGGGAAAAAATTTCTCCTCCCTTTCCCTGTGCTTTAAGTTTCCTCAATAGCCCCTTTATGTGGAACTTTCGAAAGCCTTTCTGAAGTCCAAAACAAATATTATTCATTACCCTGACTACCTCCTCAAAAACCCCTTTGTGAAAAAAGTTAGTAAATTCGTAAGACAGAAAACCCCCTTTGTAAAACCCTGTTTAGATTTTATTAATCAAACTGTGCCTGTCAAGTGGTACGAATTGCTTCGGCAATTATTTATTCCCTAAATTTTCCCCCTATGGAGGAAAAGGCTTATTGGGTTTGTTTGAAGCCAAGGACCTGTCACCTACCTCGTAAATAGGTATTACATTTGATTTTTCCCCTTACAGGCACTTGCCCGTTTGTAGTAATATGTTAAAAAGTTAGCCCCAAAAGGGTTTTAAATTTCCCCTTTTAAATTTCCCTTTTACCCTTCGAACAGTTCATAGGGCCTGGGGGTTTGTTAGGTTTTAGTTTCTCTATTTGTTGGGACCCTGCATAGTTACCCCAATCGTACTAGTTTTTTATCATCCTGTTCTACATAATCTATTATTTTAGGGAAAATTTTCTAGTACTTGAAAACACACACAAACATACACAATGCAGGAGGGGAGAGGAAGGTTTTTTCCCAAGGGTAACAGAAAAAATGGGGAAGGAAAGAACAGCCCTTGGTTTTCCAAGGTGAGGAGGGAAAACTAAATGCTCTAGAGAAGGAAAAAAATACAGAAGCAAAGGACTCGGAGAAAAAAGAATTAGCGACGAGCGAAACGAGTATGCACAGATAAGGAGGGAGCGCAGCGGCTATGAATATGACAAGCATCAAAGTCAAGTCTGACTGAAATGCTCTACAGCCACTCGGGGGAAGACAACATCAAGGACCCGGTAATCAGGCTGAGAAAAAAAAGGTGGGGAGTTCACAAAAACGATCGGAGGTATGTGAGGAGCTCAACATGAGATTTCAGGAAGTTTTGCATGGGGGCTGAAGGGCAACGGGAAGACAAAACAGTGGGATGCAGCAACAAAGGGATATACCAAAAGTGTTTGGATGAATTACACAAACATGAGGAGGAGGTGGAAAGCCCCAAGTGCCTTAATACCCCAAAGGCAGTGGGACTGGACAACATCTCTCATGGGTCCTTAGGAGGGAGCACGGACATACGTGTGCCCAAAACCCAAAAACTTCAAACCTTCCCTTGAAAATGGGGGAATACCTGAAGTTGGAAGAAGGCAAATGTAGTCCCCATCTTTCAGAAGGGAACAGAAAAGAGCCAAATTATAGCCATGTCACTGACGTGTATAGTATGCAAAGTCATGGAGAAGATTATCAGGAGGAGAGTGGTGGAGCACCTGGAGCAGAACAAGATTATAAACGACAGCCAGCACGGATTCATGGAAGGCAAATCCTGTGTCACAAACCTACTTGAGTTTTATGACAAGGTAACTGAAGTAAGAAATGAGAGGGAGGGGTGGGTTGACTGCATTTTCTTGGACTGCAAGAAGGCCTTCGACACAGTTCCTCGCAAGAGATTAGTACATAAGCTAGAGGAACAGGCACGTATAACAGGAAGGGCACTTCAATGGATCAGAGAATACCTAACAGGGAGGCAACAGCGAGTCATGGTCCGTGATGTGGTATCACAGTGGGCACCAGTGACGAGCGGGGTCCCACAGGGGTCAGTCCTGGGACCAGTGCTATTCTTGGTATGTGTGAACGACATGATGGAAGGGATAGACTCAGAAGTGTCCGTTTGTAGATGACATGAAGTTAATGAGGAGAATTAAATCAGACACAGACCAGACAGGTCTGCAAAGAGACCTGGACAGGCTGGATGTGTGGTCCAGAAACTGGCTCCTAGAATTTAACCCCACCAAATGCAAAATCATGAAGATCGGAGGAGGGCAAAGAAGACCCCAGACAGAGTATAGGCTAGGTGGCCAAAGGCTGCAAACCTCACTCAAGGAGAAAGAGATAGGGGTGAGTATAATACCGAGTACATCGCCAGAAGCACACATTAACCAGATAACTGCTGTGGCATATGGGCGCTTGGCAAACCTGAGAATAGCGTTCCCGTACCTCAGTAAGGAATCGTTCAAGACTTTATACACTGTGTACGTCAGGCCCATACTGGAGTACGCAGCACCAGTTTGGAACTCACACCTGGTCAAACACGTCAAGAAATTAGAGAAAGTGCAAAGGTTTGCAATAAGGCTAGTCCCAGAGCTAAGGGGAATGTCCTATGAAGAAAAGTTAAGGGAAATCGGTCTGACAACATTGGAGGACAGGAGGGTCAGGGGAGACATGATAACGACATACAAAATACTGCGTGGAATAGACAAGGTGGACAGAGACAGGATGTTCCAGAGATGGGACACAGAAACAAGGGGTCACAATTGGAAGCTGAAGACTCAGAAGAGTCAAGGGGATGTTAGGAAGTATTTCTTCAGTCATAGAGTAGTTAGGAAGTGGAATAGTCTGGCAAGCGATGTAGTGGAGGCAGGAACTATACATAGTTTTAAGACAAGGTATGATAAAGCTCATGGAGCAGGGGGAGAGAGGACCTAGTAGCAGTCGGTGAAGAGGCGGGTTCCAGGAGCTGAGTCTCGACCCCTGCAACCACAATTAGGTGAGTACA